TTTGTTTTTTTTTAAATAAAGAATTGAACTTAGAACTTAAAGAGTTCTAAGTTCGAACTTAGAACTTAAAGAGAAATAAAAAATTGAACTTAGAACTTAAAGAGAACTTAGAACTTAAAGAGAGAACTTGACTAAGAGTTTATTGTGTTTCTATTTGAATTAAATTTGAGTTTTCTAGAGATTTCTAGAATTTAATTTATAAAGTTTAGATTGTATAAAAAGATTTAAATAAAGTATATTATTTGTGAAACTTTTTAAATAGGAGTTAAGTTAAGTTTTAACTTCCTGATTCTTTTAAAATATTATGTAATATTTTAACTGTTGAATAAATTTGATTTTTAAAGAAATTGATTTTGAATTGAAAAGAAGAGAGTAAAAAGATTAGAAATAGAAAATATTGTTTATTCGTTGGAATAAACTAAAGAAAACTTAAATAAATAAATTTAAAGAAATTAGGAAAATTTATTTATTTTTTACATTGTGCATCAGCAAATTAATTTCATTTGTTTTTGCGACACCAAGGACAGAAGACCAACAGACAGAAGACCCACAAATATTTCTTTTATTATATTTTATTGTGCTTACATTTTGATGTGAGGTAATTAAAAGGGGTAGGGTGTTGTTTCAATACGGGATATTGTGAGTTATACGTTTTTTATATTATGAATAGATTTAGTCTAATCAGGTGTCATTCTAAAGAGATCGGATTCGCATCCCTAAACAGCTTCGACTATTTTATTAGGAAATTATATTTTTACTATTTTATTAGGAAATTATATTTAATAGAGGAAAAAATGGGAGGGTTTTAACATAAAAATACCAAAAATTTACAAAGTGCAATGAATAATGGGAAAGAAGTAGGCGTATTTGATTACGCATGATTAAAAATAGAAATAATAAAAATATAAATATTTCAACGAAAACGACAAGGGACAAAAGGGTCAAAAACATAATACAACAGTTGCATTTCGCGACACTCGGGAGGCGAGAAAAAATAAAACAAAATAGATGAAAGGATTTAAAATTTATTTTCTTTATAATATCCTCTTCATCATTTAAGTCCCTTGTTCTATTCTTCCAAATTCAGCACTGGACATCTTTGAGTTTAAGCATCCATTTTGCACATGTCCATCATATGTTACGACTGCTCACTATATTTGGATTATTCAGCTTTGTGTCTTCGGTCACCCTTAAGCTAACGAGCCACAAATAATTTGGAATCGATTTGTAATAGAATCGATGTCCAGTCTCCTCCAATAGGCGTGGAATCCTCCAGAAATCCTCCGGCGGCATGGAATCCTCCAGCAAGGAATCAGCTATTATTTTAACTTTCTAATTTTTCGAGATTTAAATTTCTAATTTTTCTAAATTCGAAAGGGTAAGGAGATATATCGTAGCGGTTCGAGGGGATTAAAAATTCTTGGTCCTTTAAAATAGGGTTGTACACATCCTGTTATAACCAGTACTCCCTATTTTCGTTTACCGACTATTTTCGGTTACCGACTCGCACTTTTTTTATTTTTCTATACTTTTTCGACCTAAAGAACATTTTAAATGCCAGTCAAGTTTACTTAAAACATTCATTGGGTTTTTCGGCCTTACATTAGTCATGGTTTTGATTTTTTCCGCAAGCAAAAAATTTTAATTAAAACCCGTGTCCATAGTACATAATATTTTTTCTCGTAAATAAATGAAAGTTATTGTTTTTATTTCACCTATTACACCGTAAATTTTTTGGTACCCTAACTCTGTTAATGAGCTCTAAGAGTATTTAAAAATCATTTTAAACAATTTTGATTAACACAAAATCATAAGGTGCTGGATCACTGCAAACAAATCCTGAACATCAATATGGTCATCCTGTGATTCAATATCCATTTGATCAAACCCATCAATCTCAATATGATCCTAACTATGGTATTTAATCATCTAATTTAATAATTAAACATAATGAAGGCATCATAAATCCTCATCAGTTTGGTTATGGAAATCCACAACAATATTCTGATCATCGTAATTTAATTTACCTTATTTTTCCTAAATTTTAATTAAAATTTAAATATAAATTCAGAATTTGAAAAAGATACAGAGGCAGCGATACTTGCATCAAGGGTTGGACGACCTCTGAGAGGGATAAATATTCAAGGCACTCTTTAAATATATTTTGTTCTGGCTGGGCAAATTAGCGGCCGCTTTTCTTTTAGCTATATGAGTGGGGGTAGGGGGGGGTCTATTTTCACATTTGGATTCGCCCAACTAAGCTTAAATATAAACTGAATTTGTATACAGCCCTTCATTTGGATTTTTTAAATGAATAGTATGAAACCGGTAATTCAGTTTATGTGTTTCCGTTTGGGATTGAATGATTTAAAAATAGTTCGGACTAGTTTTTCTTTATTATCATTAGTCAAATTTTTACCCTGTATAATTTAGTTTTTTAAGAGCCTGGTACTATTCAACATGGAACTATTGATTCGGATGATGATGATTCTGCTGATTATAACCGCTTAGGAAAAGGTTATAAAAATTTACATTTGTAGAATTTTGAGTTTATTAGTCAAAATTATATCTATTCACTTGGCAGGTTAAACTGAACACGTAATTAATTCAGGAATTATCGAATGTAGACTTTGAAAGATTCCATTTAGTTATCGTTAAATTATAAATTGGTAATCCATGAGAAACTGACAAGAACCCCACACATTGACATTTTGATTATAACCTCAAGGGAACTAGGGAAAAGTAAAATAGTCCGTAAGGAGCATTGCAAAGTCTAATTGATATAATTCCACCCAACCCTATTTAACATTTCTTCATGAGTGACATTTTCAAATAAACTGATATATTATTAACTCAATTAACAAAAAAACTTAATAATTATAGAAGGAAGTTCGTCTCATAATGCTGATCTTAGATTATTCGGAAAAGATATTTTTGTCGGCGATCGAGGTATTATGATTAGCTAGATAATAAAATATAATTTTTAATAATAAGGACAATTTGGTCAAGGATCTGGGTCTAACCAAGGTAAAGATTACAGTCTATAGTTTTGTGTTAAAATCTTATTTCGAGAAGAAAATTTAAAAAAATTTTGCTGTTGAACAAATATTCTATTAAATTTAGGACGTCATACAAATCAAAGAGGACGACCACGCACGGAAGCCCGTTCAGGACAAGATGGTATTTATTCAAAATACCGGGATTAATTTAAGCAATTGATTTATGAAATTGGATACAGTTTAGTATATCGGAGCTTCGTTTCCAATGGGGCATGGTTTACGGGGGTAGTTGAATTCGACAAATACAGGGTTAGTTGACCCAAAAATGGAGGAGATTGACCCGAGTTAAGATAAACCGAACATGAGTCCAATTGACCCGAACACTGTGGAAGTCTATCGAACATGAGTCAAATTGTTCCGAATATGCGGGAATTTGACATGAACATGGGGGACGTTGTTCCGAAAGTTTCCGACAAATTAGCAATATTTCCTAAGAATTATCAAATGAAATTCAGCATGTGGCTTATTTTAGGAAATACGGTAAATTAAAATAATGTTTGCAGATAAAGGAAAGGGTAAAAGGCATGATGAACATGACAAAAATTGATTATTTGAGTGGAACAGTGCACTGATTGTTTGAAATTTAAACAAATGAGGAATGATCACATTGTTTCTTGTTACTGTAGCAACATAATCTATCCTAGACTTTCCTTTAAAGCTTTACTATTTCTATTAATTTTCCTATGATTACATATCGGTTTTTATTTTATTTCGATATGGGGTTATCTTTTAGTGAGCTTCGACTGTATTATCAAATTTTCGAACTTTTGGTAATAGTTTGGTAGAGCCCTCCCACCCTTTTCTCCGTTTCCTTGACAATTTTGAGCTTTTTTCTCTGATATATATTTTATTATATATCAGAGAAAGAGCGTTTCGAGCTTGATCGAATGATACCAAGATAGTTAGATCTGATGATTCTTACAAAATTATCAAGCTAAATCCTTGTTGGGAAAATATTTTGTGCTAATGTAAGGGAATAAAATAAACGGCCACAACTTTGTTCACTTAAGTCAGTTTTCTTTAATGTCTTTCGACTCAGCTCGAAGGGCTCTTTCAAATGATAGATAATTTGTCAGAAAATGGAAAAAAAACTAGGAAAATAGGAAGGAAGAATGGGGGGGGGATTTATATTTAAGGGGAGGATTTATATGTTTTTTTTATAGGGGAGGATTTATATGTGGGGGGGATTTATATGTCCCCAATTGTGAAATCTTTAAATTCAAGATTTCACAATTTGGGACATTTATATATTTCATTTCGGTTTTTATTTTTTTGGTTAAAATTCAAAAGTGATTTGTTTCTGTTGGGAAGATTAACATTAGACAATTCAATCAGATCTCTGCACGTATTTGCTTTTAATCAGCTACCCAACTCATTTAACATCTTAATTTTCTGTGTATTTATTTAGTATTTGCTAAATCTTATTGTGAGATCTGATTGTATCAGAGAACTTTTTAAAACTTTTGCATTAAAATACTTTAATTTAAATTATCAAAATATTTTTATACAATTTTTTCTGATTATTTTCTTGAGTAAAATTTATTGCGTTCAAAAGATTTTATAGAATATTTAGTTATTTTTATCCATACCTTTATGCTAATATGTGTGTCGGGGATCGGATTTATTTTTTTAAAAATTTCTAAACATTTCAAACAAAATTAATTTACAAATTAATTAATTTAATTAGCGGCAGCTAACAAAGCATCTATGAAGGAAATACAAAGAGGTATCCATGGTAATTTTTTTAAATATGTGTAAGGAATAGAAAGATCCAGCTGGTTAGCATTTAAAATGCATACTTTTTAATAATAAAAACCAACTTCGATATTCAGTGAAAGTACATCTGTCTAGATAAGAGTCTAGAAATACCGCCATGTAGTCTCCGGATCAAAGTTTGTCCGGGATTAATCTTTACCTCGCCCTTACTTAGTTTATTCTAAATAATATAATATTCCGGTCCTGTTCGGCAAAAATAAAATTGACAAGATGCATGATGCTTTGATGTATTCTGTGAGATTCCGGATTTTTTTAATACGCCATGAAATAATTAAATAATAGTAGCGAATTTTTATCAGAAGATATGAGCCTAATTTCCATCATTTTAACCTTAGAAGGGTAAGAGAGAACCCGCGAAGTAAATTAGTTTGCTACACCGACTCGCGAAAATCCGAATTGACCAAGTGTGGTCGATTAATATATTGACTCTATTTGCCCTAATATTGCAATTAATTAATAATCTAATAAAAAATCAAAAGGTGCTAGAACTATGCAATCAAATCCTGAACATCAATTTGGACGGCCAGTAAATCCACAACAAACCCATTATGATCGTAATTGAATTTAACATTTTACTTTAATTAAATTAAAAATAAAATTCAGAATTTAAAAAAGATACCGAGGCGGCAAGAATTGCGTCTTTGGGAGGGCGACATCGTGGAGGAATAAATATTAATGGTATCTTTTCAATAATATTTTGTTTAATTCATATAATTAAAGAGGGAGGTTCCACTCGATCTGCAACTACCGAACCTGATGAGGGGCCGAGTTCCAAAGGTAAGGGGAAACAAATAAAGATTGATTTAAATGAATATCCCGATTCTGATGAATGAACAAATTTTAAAGAAACAGAAGAAAGATGTGATTTGGGATTTATTTATTCTAACATAACATGGATTTTTAAATTTTAGTTATAAAATTTGTTTCTTTTAACATGATAGCATAGTCATGCATTATTTTTTTATTTTATAGAAAAATTAAAAAGTTTTTTGAAAAAATTTGAAATGATTGTTCTAAAGAAATTATAAAATATAACTATTTGTTTATTATGTATTGTCACAAATTTTGGTATTTTATATCCCTAGTCATAAATAAAGTGCCAGCTACCTCCTGGTAAACCTGTATTTATTTTTATTTGATGTTTAATAAAAACAAAGAAACAATGTTTAATTTAGAAAATTCTAATAAAAGTTCGCGTAAAAATTTGGGATGGGCTTTTATTACAGTGAACTTAAAAAATTAAAACCCCAAAAATGTTTTTAATTTGTAGGAAATTTATGAATTGTAGGAAATTTACTTTTATTAACTATTAAAAGTCGAGAAAATTTATAAATAGTGTGTATTGATGCAGGTCATTAGAAAATATGGAAGAAATGAAGTAAAAAAATAAAATGAAAAATAAGAATAAGAGTAATAAAAAGTAAAATTGTAGTTTATTAGACTATTTCCTGCCTCAGAATCAACAGCCCAATAAGAAGTAACTTTTCTTGAACAAAATAGAGGAGAAAAAATATGTAGATAATTTTAATAAAATTATTCATTCTTTAATCACTTCCTTCCAAAAGTTTTGTCATAAAGTTTGAACATTTAAAGTAACTAATACTCATTGAATAGTATTTTTGTTGATGATAAAGCATTAACCGCCAAGTATAATGATTTTCAATACTTCGATTAATTAAACGAAAACATTCATCCAATCTTTGAGCCCCTTCAATTAAACCTAATCTTCGTTGATTATATCGAAGTAAAATATTTGTGTATTTAACAGATTCGTTATAAAGTAATTCCTTTCCTTCGGGAGACAAGCCTTCAGCATCTTTATATGAAAAATTATAAAGTTTATTTAATCTGAAATTTTTTTCTTCAAATTGCAAATATATTTCTTCTTTCAGCACCGCAGGCGAAAATCTTTAAAATTTTGGAATTCCAAGAAGTAAAAGTCGAAAAATTGAGTGAAAAGTTGCACGCATTCCTAAACGCCCAACCCTGATGTGGAGGGATTAAAGGAAATATATATACGAGCGATTAAAGCTGCTATCGGTAGATTTAGAGAGATAACGAAGAATTAGAAGATATAAAGCGATCTGGAAAGATATGAGGATTTGAGGTAATACCGAAATATCGATACACTTAATCTGCCGGTAACCCTACAACTTTCCTTGATTTACAGATCTCCTTAATCCTCCTAATCCAGCTGATTCTCCAAATAATTTTAAATCCACCTATATCACTCAACATCCTCTTATAACACAGATTCACCACAAATATACCTAGATATACTTTTAATTACCTTACTTAATCCTTTCAAATTCTCTAATATCTTCAATATTATTGAGAAAATTTTTATATAAAAATTCCGAAATCCCGCGGAATCGCGTTAAATTTAGAATTTTAGAACGGGATTATCGGGATTGCTGGATTTATCGGCCACAGCACATAATTTAAATTAAATTGTTTACCCGGTTTCGTAAAAATAATAGCTATTAACAAAGCAAATTCAACTTTTGTTAATGAAGCACGTTTAAAATGGGCAACAGATTTTGTAAATGTTTGATCTGTCCATTTAATTATTCTAAAAATTGAAAATCAAAAAAATTTTTTATGAAATTTATATTAAGATTATTAGAAAAATATTTACTTATCATCATGCAAAAATTGCTTCTTAAAACCAAGAGCAGGCATAATATTATCTTTACGTGTCATAGTTTCAGAGCCTAACTCCCAAGCTAGGTAGGTGTTAGTAAATGAAGTAAACAAATGACAAATCTGCCTTAGATGTGCAATCTTTAAAATATTAATATTTAATTTTCCATCCGGAGTCTGGGAACAACAAGAAGCGGTTTAAAAAATCAACGGCTCCGAAATCAAGATTCAAATAGATCTCCGATTCTAGTCATTATTCGAATTCGAAGATATTTGAAGATTTTTTTGTTTCGAAACATAGCTGGTCTAAACCAAACTCGTAGACGAAAGAAATTCACTTTTCTGTGTTGGAGGCAAAAAAGTTATGGCAAGATATCTGCGGATGTATTGACGGATATCTCATATCCTTATCAAATAAAGAATAATGTATTTAAATATTTTGTGATCATATTTTGCTATTCTATTACAATAAAATCCGATTCACCGCTAACTATAGTCAAAAATAAATGAACATAAAACACCTGATCAGATAAAGTCAATTTCTCAAAAACAGGCATAGATTTAGCTATACCAACACTCAAAAGTCTGTTAACTAAAAAATATTTGAGACAACGTTTGTTAAAAATTCCCTCAGTTTGTACTGAAGATTCCCAGCTTTTTAATTCATCAAAAGGTATTGGACCCGGATTTGGCTTTAAAACGAAATTAATTTTTATTAAAAATTATATTAAAATTTACCGAAAAATTGTCAGTTAAACGAAAAATATTAAAATTAGATAAAATTATTTCTTCAAACAAAATCGGGCCATTAAGGAATATATCATCCAAATCATTAAATGCATGCATAATACGTTTTTTGGCTTCAATGATTGGTAAAATTGAGTTTATCAGGTTTAGGTCTTTCATGGTTATTTCGACAACTGAAGGATTTGAAAGCTTAAAAAACAAATAAAATTAGCCTCGTATAAGATACACTCAATACTATCGCGACTATGCGAATCACGATTATCTGGGCGCTCTTTGGATTAGGCTAAGTAGTGTAAGCTAAACGGTTGAGCCGTCTTCACTTCCGCTCTTTTTCCCCCACAACGGAGAAGAGACTAGAATTAGAAGATATCTGTGCATACATTTCCTAATAGGGAAGTCTTAGTACCATTTTTAGCTAGGTTTAGGATTTTTCCTATCATTGAGGATTTTAATATTCCGAATTGTAACAGCGTTTTCGTCTGGAGTTGGGACACGTCGTTGTCTCATCGAGGGATTACACTATACGTTGATATCTTTTGACTAGGTGGAAAATTTATGAGGGCTCCCGGACAATCCGTGAGTGGACAATCCGGAGTGGAAAATCCGTCAGTGGACAATGCGTCAATGGTCGGACAATCGGTCAGTGGACAATCCGTCTGTGAACAAATTCATAATTCCCACCCGAACCCAAAAAACCGCGGCCAAAAATTTTCATTTTTTCATGTGAGAGCTTATAAGTGATAACGAAAATATTGAGATTAATGAGGAAATCGGTAGATTTAGCTGGATTAAAAGTATATCTGTGGATTTGGGAGTCATCGGGGACTTCAAAGATATTGTGGGATCAAGGGGAATATAAAAGATTTGTAGTATTATGCTAGTTATCTAGGAATTTGGGAAATTAAGATGGATTTCGTGGGTAAAGGAGGATATCAAGGGATATAGGCGGGTTAAGAAGATTTGGAGGTTGTTCCATGATATCCATCTAAAACAATCTCTCTTATTCATCGAGTTCCATAACTACACGATATTTACTCAAATCCTACAATAATGCCACACGTTAATCACTTAAATCTAATCCATCCAAATCCCCGATATCCTTCTAAAGCCATCGACATTCGCGTAATCCAACCACATTGCCCACTGAATTGCTATTAATCCAGCTAAATCTGCCGATTTCCTCATTAATCTCCATATTTTCGTTATCTCTTATAATCCCCTACATGATAAAATGAAAATTTTTGGGCGCGATAGTTTGAGTAAGGGTAGGAATTACAAATTTGTTCACTGACGGATTGTCCACTGATCGATTGTCCGACCACTGACGCATTGTCCACTGACGGATTTTCCACTGCCGGATTGTCCGGTCACGTTAGCGTGTACGGATCCGTCATTATTAAAAAATAGACTTTTACTTTAATTTCGTTCCCTTTTCCTTCCATTGCTTCCCGGCATATATCTTGACGTACATATCCAACATCTAAAATTCTTTTCAAATTATTTTTAAATATTCTAACAAACCCAATCTTTTCATTCCAACAGAAAAACATTTTTCAAGTCTACATTTTTTACATTTTGCCAAATTTGTTTGTGACTTTTCGTCTTTATTCTCTTTCGAACATTTACATTCATTATATTTAAATCCATGTTCGTTTAAAAGATAACGCCTTTTTTGGGAAAAAATTTTAAATAAAATTCTTTTAAAAACTACCTGAAAAAAGACCCACAAGCCCTACATGTACAAACTCCATAATGAAAACAAACACTTATGGTTGACTCACAAACTTTACATTTTTTAATGATGTTTCTTTGCATTTTCTAATTAAAATACAGGATAACCCAGAAGTAACTGGACACTTTATTTAACTTTATTCAATTAAGCTTAAATGACAAAGAAATAAATAAAGAACAAATATGAGGAATTTTCGTTCTTTTTCCCTTTGCTTGGTTACGAAGGCGCGTGAAAAAATTTAGTGCAATTTTTTGCCAATAGTTTGTTAACTTGTGGCTTGTTGACTATTTCTTTGTCACTTTTTAAAACAGTCATACCTACTCCCCTAAAAACTTCATGGGAAAATTTTTCCGTAAATTTATAACGGAATTTTTTGATTGTTCTTCGAAATTAAGGTTGGCGGATAGTTGGAAATTTTCGTGATATCCGGATCCGATATCCGAAAAGCTTCAACCCTTACGTGTGTCTGTTTTAAAACGAAAGCGGTCGGTTTAGGCCAGCTGTTTTCGCAAGAAAAGGGAAGAAAAGTGTGCATTCTCTTTGCGGACAGTTAGGGAACGAAACGGACTTTTACCTTATCTAGGCTTGGGGTCGCACTTAAATTAATTTTGTTAGTAACCTGTAGAGAAAAATATTTCTAATAAAATGTGGTAAATAGTAATTAATACTAAATAATATTCCTAATTATTTAAATTCATTAAATATAAAAAATTTTTTTTGCCAAAATTGTCAATATAATATAAATTATATGGATGATTCTGATGTATACGACGCGAACGTATTTAATTTTCATTTTGTACGTAAAATTATCAGCTGAATAAACAAATAAATTTTTTAAACAAAAATTAAATAGCAGAAAGTTGAGTGATATTAAACTTGAATGATTGGATTTAATCAATTTAGTTAACTTCGACGCTTCTCTCCTTTCTTTCTATGAATGAATATTTTATTTCATAAATAAAATTTTATTTAAAAAACTCAAATCAATTCAAAACAGCTAATTAAACAAACAAAAATTTAAATGAAAAGAAAATTAATTTTTATTAACATTAATCTAAAAATGGTTACATATTTGCCATCGTCGGGCACTTTAGCTAGCGTCATGCCTGCATCCCACACTAAGAAATATTTTAAATCAAAAAACGAGCTTCTATTTTCGTTAATTTATTCGGAAATTAAGAGGGATTTGGAAGAATTAGAGGAGATATCTGGTGATATAATAAGGTTTAGAGGGATTGAAGGGGATTTGTGGGCATTAAAATATTTGAGGATATAAAGTAGAGTGCGACATTTTTAATTTGCCGGGCCCGGTATCCGAGCTTTTTTCTTCCAATCCTATACAAAATTGACTAAAAATGCTGCCCGAAACTTGCTCCGGCACTATAAAGCCAGCAATTTCCCCTATTTCATTGAATTAAAGCATTTCTTGCACCCTAAACAAATAAAAATTTTTACCTAACCACATAAGAAGGTGGTTAGGTAACCATCGTAACGCCGACGTGACCTACGCCGCAGGTTTGGGGTCGCCGTTTTTCTTTTTTCTCCGTATTTTGGGAAAAAATCATAAATTTTTTTATAATGGAGATAAAAATTTTATTTTTTGCAATTATATAAATTGAAGTGATATCTATGATTTAACAAAAAACTAAAAATTTTGACAGATTTGTTTAACAACTACGAATTTTCTAGCAAGGTACTAACGATAAATGTCCAGTCGAATGCTCTCTCAAAGCGAATGCTCACTCAATTGAGATACGTTTTTAAAAGTTGAATGATGGGAGTTTCTAATTGATATCTCCAACACTTTTGTTAATTAAGTGTATTTCGATATTAACATGTTTATTTTTTAAAAGATTCCACATCCTTGCTTGCTAATAAAGACTCTACTGACATTATTTTCATTAAAAATCCAAATCTCCCTATAAGTTTCTAGACTAATTTTTTCATAAAAGTTTAACATAGCCAATAAAATATTCTAATAAACAAAATTTTCTCACAAAAATTTTTGTATCTAAAAAGTATTAGTGTGAAATTAAGAATATTTAAATTAATTTTGTTTTAATGAAACTACAGTCGTCGACATAAATAAGAGGACAAGAGAAATTGAAATTGACTATTTTCTCGATCAAAAATACGTTCTATATAGCAATCAAAAGCTCTATTTGTATCTCAGTTGACATGTTTCTGCATTTTTCATGAAATTGAAAATTGGCCGAGATAATCCGGATCTACAGGATATACCAAATCCCATATCATCAAAAAAAATTTTCCGAAAAATTTAACAAACCCATTTGATAAAGCATATTTTTATAAGGCACAACACATCTTTTATAGATACAAATATTCGAAAAATTCCTTTTTTAGGGGTGTATGTTTTACACCGACTCCGACTCGGGGTTTCCGTCGGTGATCGGGGTTGTCTGGGTAGAGCCAGACAATAAAATCCGACAATAAAAATTTGATATTAAAAATCCGTCCGGGTCGGGGTTTTCTGGGTCGGGTTGCTACCCTAGAAAATATCATTCGTTTCAGCTTACCATTCGTCTCAGTTTAAATTAATTAATTAATTTCACAAACAAAAAATAATTAAATAATAAAATTAAAAAAAATTATTTGTTATGTTAAAACAAACAAAATTTTCTCACAAATATTTTTTGTATTTTTTAAAAGATAAACAACTTTTTCACACATTTAAGAAAATTCTACATAATTTTATGCTTCGTAATTATATAGTGCTCCACAAACTATTACCGCACCTTAAATTTTCAAATTTTTGACTTATACCGAATCAATCGGGCTGATTTTTATTTTAAATTGATTAAAGCAGTTAATAATTAATATAAACCCGAGAAATCAGAAAAATTTTTATTTAAAAATTTTTTATACACTTTTTTCAAAAAACACCCTCCACACAACTTTACCTGTCTTACGAAAATAATATGAGGAATGCTTTATAAATTTTAAAAAATTTATGTAAACATTTCCATTAGTAAAAAAAAACACTCTGTTCCAAAAGTATATGCCCACCTTTGTTTTATAGGTTTTTAGTAGTGTGAAAAATCCACAAAAATTTTTGTGAACATATCTATCGATGTAGATAAGAAATAATAAAGAAATGAAGTTCCGATGTACTCCCATCATCGAGATCTTGAAGCCCAAAAATCAACGGAAAACCGGGGGTAGACGTCTTTAAAAAATATTTTCGACCCCTTACGGTCGAAATAAAAATTTTATTTTGGGCTCATCTGAAAGCCCTTGAAATTTGCTACAAGATAGCATTAATTTTATTTTCCGAAAAAAAATTTATAAATGTCGTGGTATTTAATCATAAAAAATTTAAGAAAAATCTATAGCGATATCACATGGATAAAGCTAGAAATATAGGTGGGCATATACTTTTGGAACAGAGTGTATCTAGAAAAGCAAAAACGAAGCCAGTTAGTGCTTTTTTGATTGAGATCTAAAATCTCGAAATTCAACTGGAAATGGGGGATACAGTAATTAAAAAATACCTGTCGTACCTGTTTATAAAGTACAAGTAAGAGCAAAAAATGGACAGATACGAGTACGAGTACGAGAAAAATATGGCCTGTACTTGTACGAGCAAATTTTGAAATTCCAACCACTGATTTGAAACTAAAATTCTATAAAAATTTCTGTGAACGTAACTTTAAATTGATATCAAAATAGAAAATTTTCTTGTCAAATTAGTCTCTGTTAATAATTATCCCTTTCTCGTATCATTATATAGAAGGCTGTAATATTTCTATTTGTATTTTTTGATATTAAATAAATATTTAAAATTTAGACAAAAATTCTCTACTAAAAACTCAAAAAAATGTCCTTCGATATACATGATATTTTATTTAAATCAGATTATTTTGTTTGTTTATTAATTGGTTTTCCTTTAAATATTATTCTGATTGTTTTAATTATTTTTAAAACACCAAAAGAAATGAAAACACACAGTCGAATTCTGATACAAAATTGTGTTTTGGATATTTTAATGTTGACTGGTCAATTGTTTATTGAAGGGGTAATAAAACAAAAAAAAACAGAAAGTTAAAATAATAAAATTGTAATCAATTGAAAATAAATCAGATTTTAAAGGAATAAGTCAGAAATATACATATAAACTAGAGTATAAAAAATCATAAAAATGCAATTTTACAAAAATAGTTCTAAAATATTTTTAATTGTTATAGATAGAGCTTCGAAATTTTGGATTTTATATTTTTTAGTATGTTAAATAAATATAATATATTATTCACAAAATGCCTCCTTAAATATACAACCAAAAATTCCTAAACTTTTTATTCTATTAGAAAATACTCTAAAAAATAAATTTCCAAAATTTCAGAGCTTTTGGGCATCTGAAAATTATAATAATTTTTAACTATAACTATTTTTATAAAGCTACATTTTTTATGTAAAATACCGTAAATCATCTTAAATAGCCCCCCCCCCCCCTAAAATAAGCCCCTTCTAGATGTGGATAGAAAAAATAAGCCCCCTTCTAAATTAAGCCCCCTCCCCCAGAAAATTTTTAATTGCTGATAAATTGTTGAGTCCCCTCAGTTGAGTCTCTATGGAGGGATATAAAAGGATTAGAAGTTATTAAGAAGGGGATCAACGTAGATATATGAAGGGATCAACGTAGATATGTGTGATTTGAGGTGAGTAAGAGTGATATCTGAGGATTTGTAGGTTTAATGAGATATATAGGGATAATGAAGATTAAGTGAGATTAAGATGGATATCGGGGGGATCAAGAGTGAATTCGGTAGATTTTGAGATTAAGAGAGATTTCGGTGATT